GGGGATCGAACTTGGGACCTTGCGCTTTCGAGGCAGGCGCTGGAACCATTGAGTTAAATCCCCGGCCCTCCTTGGTTTTATTTTTACCAAAACAAATGAGTATAAGTTTAGAGTTAAAGGAGAAAAAAAAGAGATCCATTTTATTTTTCACCTTGTAAGCTTCATAATCTTTTCTTATCATGTTATTGACTTAATAACTCAATAATATTTTTTAAATTGACTTATTTCTCCACAACTCACCTCATTTTAAAAAGGTTTTAGGCAGCTTATGAAACCATTATGAAATAGTTTTGAGACTGTTTTTCACTCTGCAGCAGCATGGCTTTCCTGATTACCACACAGATGTGTAGAGTGGGTTTCATCTTGGTCCTTATCAGTAACTTACAGTAACTCCATAGTGTATTATACACTATCCCATTCCATGCTTTGCATTTTATATGTTTCGTATAGAAAATGTAGAAAAGCAAATAGGAATCATATCTCCTAGAAATTCCTCATCTTTTGATATTTTGGTGCTTATCCTCAGTATACTGTACATATGGCATAGAAATTGAGTATATTTTATATGTATATAGAGAAAAATAAAGTTTGAATAAAGCTTTTTGTTACATTTAACATTATATTGTGAACATTTCCCTGTCACATAATATTCTTAAACAGTTTCTTCAAGCATATGAATAATTCTCCATCTTCTATGATATTTAGTTTTAACTTTTAGAATATTTAAATTCCAAGATGGGTGTGGTGGTGCATGCCTATGATCCTGGCACTCGGGAGGCTGAAGCAGGAGGGGATCACTGTGAGTTCTAGGCCAGTCTGGGCTACATAATGAGTTCAAGGCCAGCTTGAACTACATAGCAAGACCCTTCTCTCTCTCTCTCTCTCTCTCTCTCTCTCTCTCTCTCTCTCTCTCTCTCTCTCGTGTGTGTGTGTGTATATTTATATTTAAGTTCCAATGTTTTCAATTGAAAACTATAATGTGTTGAATAGTATGGCCTAGTTTCTATATGTACATAGATATTTTCAATTTAGGGAATTTCTACCTGTATTTCTATGTTTATGTATGTGTAATAGGTAAAAATTACAAAGTTCGAAAATGAAAGATAATGCATATATTTTATTTAACATCCTATTAGGGTTTGGGGCTGCACCCCATTACCAAATGCATTCATGTGTCTGCCATGAAATAATGCTTGCCTTTGCATGAGATTAAAAAAAATATACCCTAATGCCAGCATATACTCCAAAGTTATGAGTATCTTTTTGCTTTTTAGAATTGTGGTTAAGGGCTTGTAGATCTATGTAAAATTATTAGTGTAATGCCTGGCATTTGAAGCACTTAGTGTAAGTTGGTGGATACTACCACTAACAATACTACTATTATTGATTGTTTTCAGGTACTTACATATTCATACATATAGAAAATTAGTGAATCATAGGGTTGGACTTTCTCACATCATGATCTGAGGAGGGGAAGGTACCTAAGTTTTGTTGTCTTTTGATCTTTCTTCTCTACATCAGAATAATGGAGGATTGTATGTGATAGCCTTCCATGTCTCTTCTCTGTTCCAAATATAAGCTTATCTAGTTTAATGCTCCTGTCCTTCTGTCCATATGTAGTCCCAGTTATGCAGAGTTGATAGAGTTGTTCATCTTGTGTTTTCACCCTTCCACAGATCTTAGTAAAATAATGTTCCAGATTTTCCTGCTCCCATTCAGCCATCTAATCAAAGAGGCCAAAAACATACACTGGAGGAAAGATAACCTCTTTTGCAAGTGGTTCTGGGAAAACTGGCTATATACATGCAGAAGATTGAATATAGATCTGTATCTCTCACCATGTACTAAAATAAAAGGATCAAAGATCTAAATACTAAAACAACACAGTCTGGAAGATAATCTAAAACTCTTGAAGACATAGACATAGGCAAGGGCTTTTGAAAAGAATCCCAGTTGCATATGAAATAACATCAAAAATCAACAAATGGGATTATATCAAATTAACCTCTGTACAGCAAAGGTAATAACCAACAGAGTGAAGAGAAAACCTACAGAATAGGAAAAAACTTTTGCCAGCCACTTCTTGGACAGAGGACTGATATCGAGACTATATAAAGGACGCAAAAAAATTAGACCTCCCCAAAATAAAAAATGGAAAATTGAAATTAATGGACACCTCTCAGAAGCAGAAGTACAGATGGCCAATAAATACATTAAAAAATGTTCAGCATCTCTGGCCATTAGAGAAATGCAAATTAAAACAACGTTGAGATTTCATTTTACCCCAGAAAGAGTAGCTATCATCAAGAAATCAAATAATAACAATTGCTGGCAAAATATGGAGGAAAAGGAACTCTCCTATACTGTTGGTGGGAATGTAAACTAATACAATCACTATGGAAATCAGTATGGAGATTTCTCAGAACTAAAAATAGAAATTCCATTTAACCCAGCTATTCTCCTTCTAGGTATGTTCACCAAAGAGTTATAGATACTATATTACAGTGATATGTACATACCCATGTTTATAGCAGCACAGCTCATAATAACTAAATATTTGAAGCAGCCTGTATTCATCAACAGATGAATGAATAAAGAAAATGTGGTATTTATATAGAATGGAGCACTACTTTTTCCTGCGAACTATTGCTTGTCAGTCAGACTTATCTAATGTCTTAGCAACACAAAAGGAACCTGAGAAGAGCCAGATATTGCAATTTGTTGTTAATGATTTGATTGATACTATGATGTAGTAAGTTACTTTTTCTAAGGGTTTTTTTTTGGCTTGTTTAAGCCAAGGGCTAAATGTAGCAATAAAAATTTAAATTAACGAGAAAGAAATTTGAGTCATTTGTAGGAAGATGGATGTGACTTGAGACAATAATGTTAAGTGAAATAAGTCAGACATACAAGCTTAAATATCACATAGTTTCTCTTATATGAGAAACCCAAACTATAAATAAATTTATAGAGCAAATTAAAAAATAAATAATAATAAAGGAGATAGATCTTTTGCAAATGGGAAGAGATCCAAGAAATGGAGGGAAGGGAAGGAAACGGGAAGTAAAAAGAACTAAGATGTGTTATGTACATGTACCAACTCCTAACAATGAATGTAATCATTATGTACTGCAAACATGTACTAAATACATTTTTTAAAAAAAAATTAGCAAAATTCTGATAAGAGTATGGGGTGGAACAATTAAGTATCACCTTTCAGAAAAACAAACTGACAGTATGAATAGAGGAATTAAAAAATGTCTATTCCCTTTTATAAATTTTAAGTTGTTAATTGACTAATTATAATTGTATATACTTATGGGGTACAATGTGATACTATTCTACAATGTGGAGTGATTAAATAAAGCTAATTACTCTACAAAAAAAAGATTTTCCTTGCTTGTTTTATAGTCCCCTCAAACATCATTTCTTCAGATATGACCAATAAGATTAAAGTCTGTGCAGTGATTGAATTTGAAGTACTGTACTTCTTTCTACCCATCATTTTAATTGATGAAAAACTGTAATCACAGCCATTATAACTACAGTATTTGATAATTAGAAATTTTTAGTACTATACACTGAATTTAATTATATGGACATATTACTTTTATTGTAGTCTGATAAATTTATTAAATGCACTTTATATGTACATTTGCTGTTGAGATTAATTTTTTAAAGTCTTATACTTGAATTTAAACCTACTCTATATCATTGGAAATATCTCATTGAATTGTTTAAATATTTGTATATACTTTGTTCTGTCCTTCTGCTTATTAGTGTACAATGTTAGTTTCCCATTGTAAAATTTTTACAATTGTATTGTATTGTAAAATTATACTTGAGAAAAATCAAATTAGGAGTTATTTTGGCTCACAGTTTTGGAGGTTTTAGTCTATGAGCAATTAGCCTTATTGCTTTTGGGCCTGTTAGGTAGCATCTGGTGGGGGTACTTAGTGATGTAAAGCCATTCACCTAGAGGCCAGGACGTGAAAAGAGAAAAACAGAGACTGGAGTCTCACAGACTTTTTCAAAGTCACTCACCAGCAAGCAAAAGATCTTCAAGGGACCCCCTCTTAAAAGGTTCCCCACCTCCCAAGGGCGCCACAATGGGGATCAGTGGTTTACCATGTGTACCTGTGGGGGACATTTAAGATCCAAATTATAGCAAATAGTATTTGTCTTTCCCATCCCAGCCTCTTAATAACTGAAAAGAAATATTGTCACTATTTGTCTTACGCTTCTGTTGTGTAGTCTCAGCTCTGTAGCAAATCCAAGCTAGAAAGGCCCTTAGGACTTACCTAGTTGAACTGAATCAGAGAACTAGAAATGAAATCAGTTTGTTGAAAGTGACAGTGGAGTTTTATGTATTGTATTTGGTACTTTCGTGATCCATAACTGAAATGTAAAATGCAGAAATACCTGTGCCTTTTTTGTTATTGTTGTTGGGAGGGATGTGTAAAGTCTGCAGTTTGTAAAATTGTTGACTTTAATTGCTCTTTGAAGTTTGTTTTAGAGGATTGAGGGTCATGGTATAGTATGTAGAGTATGAAGAATGAACAGTAGGAACATTTTCTGCTTATTTCATATCCTTTGGTCCCCGCAGGGCATATTTGTTTTGGCAGCTGACATTCCCTGTAACATTATGTTGGAATTTGGAATGTATTGTTTCCTACGATCTACTTCCTTTATGTTGTACATTTTGGCCAATTTCTTATTAATAGTAGATATTGAGTTCAAATTCCAGAGCAGAAAACTTGGATACGATGTAAAATAAGCAACTGATAGTGTTCACAAATATAGTTATGATTTGGCATATGTTCACTAATGTAACTTTTTTTAACCTGGCATTATTTAATTTAGGACCTTAGAATTTGAGCTGCATTGAAATCATTGACAATTGGCATTTATTTTTTTACAGAGAGAAAAAGGAAAATGGATGACTGAAAGAAGTATTATGTTGTATTTTTAAAAAGTTATATTTCCTTTATCTTTTCTAGGTTGCTGTAGTAAAACTAAAAAATGCAGATAAGGTATTTGCCATGAAAATTTTGAATAAATGGGAAATGCTGAAAAGAGCTGAGGTAAGAGTCTTATATATTTTAAAAACACTGATGGGGATTTAGGTTGTTTCTGTATTTTTACTACAGGAAAAAATATACATGTATATTGGAGCACTTTTTGTGAATTTAGCCATGTCAGTTCTTAGAAGATAAAATCAAACTGTTAATAATTTTGTTTCACCAAATCTAAGTATGTCTGTATTTTATGAGAGAAAATAATACATTAAAAGTCTTGCCACCCAAGAAATGTATCCAGTATAAATTTTGAAAGGAGGAGGGCTATGAAGTACTCTTAAAGATACTGCTGTAGGCCACACTGAGGTAGCCAGTTTGTGTATACTGATGTTGAAATGATTTTAAGGGTAATTTTTTTATTAAGGGAATTTTCATGTTGTGCTGACTCTAGTATAGTACTTAGCCATTTCTCAAATTTAGTGTCCTTGCTATTGAAACTCTTGGGCTAGAGCTGGAGAATACGGTTCCTTTAAACTCTGATAGTTATTGGTTCACAATAAATTGTCTTCTATAAAAGTTTGGACCAGTATGTCTTTAGACTCAAAGTGTGCGTGTTTTCACACATTTGCAAATTATGGATGTTATCAAATGCTTTCTCTTTATATCAAAAATACTTTTGTTGACAAGTTTAAAAATTGGCATTTCTCATGTTTCGTTTCGCCACCAAATATATAAAATGGAAACTTAAAGGTAAAATGATGATATGCTGTATTAAGACCTAATTTTTGGAATTCTTGAATTTTTCATTGTAAAACTCCATTCGTTTATTTTTTAACCATGAAAAATTTTAACTTTGCCCTCATCAAATATTATATCAGAGAGAAATACTCAGTTATTATTTGAAAGTATTTCTCTGTGATAATACTTTACTGAAGGAGAGAGGAGAGAGTCTTTATTCCTAGTAGATAAGAAGCCAAAGTGGATATAGCCATCTGTAGATTTTCCCATTGTGACACATGATTTCCAAGTATGTATGTAGTTTTGTTGTGCTCTATAAGTTCATTAATTTGCTGAAGGCACTTTATGAGTGTATTGAACAGAATCATGTGACAGCATTGCAAAATTACTATCATTTTCATATGTCCTTATTTTATATTGTAATGTAAATATTCCTTTTGCTCTTTATCCCAGTAGTCTATTAAAGATGAAATTTTAAAAAATGTATGATCAAATAATAAAAAGTATAAAGTGTATAACAGCCACATCGCTATGGTAAGCAGAGTGTTTGGTTAAACATTTGTTTGAGAAAGTGAGTGATTAAATCTGAAGAAGCACTGTGATTTCCAGTAACTTCTCCTACATGTTTGTTGCATTCTTACATTCAAATGTACTGCTTTTAAAGAATTTTAAAGCATCTTTTAAAAAAATGTAGTTGAAGTAGACATTATTATAGCCTTTAGCCATTTGAATCCCCCAAACACTTTTTAAACCCCAGGGTATACCTGTATCATGATTTGGTTAATACTGATCTAGAACACAGCTTCTTGGTAGGGCACTGTTGACTTTTGGCTGGGTATTTACTTGATGTAGATGCTGTTCTAAGCATTGTAGTAGGATCTCTGGCCTCTCCTCACTAGACACCAGTAGACCCCTCTCCAATTATAACCAACTGAGGACAGTGTGACGATGCAAAATAGGTAGACTGTTTATGGCATTCTGTGCTTTACATCTAGACTTAGTATCTGATGTACTAATAAGAATAGCTTAATAGCTAAATATTTATGAATGAAATCATATGTATAGGAGTTGCTTTAAATAGTATGTGTGAAAAAAAATAGTATGTGTGTGTATATATGCACTTATGGAGCTGAGGGCTGGTGGTAAGTGGTTGGAATTGTAATGAAATGAGATTGACCAATAAAATAATTGAAATTGATTGATGGTACTTTGAGAGAGTTGTTACATTAGTCTACTTTTGTATATGTCTATTTGAAATTTTGTATTATAGTTCATTGTGTATTTTTTATTTTATAAACTTTTATATTGAACAGTTTAGCATAGATCAAAACTCACAGTTCAGTCTTTTCTTTTGACTAGAGTCTTTGGAGTTTCATTTAGTTTGAGGTCATCAATCCAATGAAATGATAATTGTTTACTGGAGTCTAGATTGTCTATAGAATTTCAGATAGGTGTTAATTGTAAGATAAAGCCTGGAGAAGGGAGATTCTTAGGCTTTGAGAGCCTCCACAATCTTTCTAAAAATGTTAGCAGTTAACCATAACTTCAGGTCAGTTCAATTATAAAATTGGACTTTAGTGGTAAGTCACATGATTTTGTTTTCTCCCGAAATGAACTGAAGCAGGTAAAATCGCCCATTTAAATTGGTTTAATTAAGCTTTATTTTAGTGTTTTCTCTGATGTTGCCATTTAATGTCTGGTTTTGGAAATTCTGTGTGCCCAAATAAAGTTTATAGATGTACATGGGAATTGTTAAGGGTAATTGTATAACACTGTTGTTTTGTGTATCGTGACTATTTAATTTACCTTGTGTTATATATAGAATACTGTGTGATAATATGGTATAACTAGAAACATTGGGTAGCGCTCCGTGTATTAAGATGGATAGGACTTTTTGTACTAAGATGGAAAGATGTTCCAATATATTGTTACTTGGGAAAACAAAGAAACTACTTATAGAGTGCTACAATCTCATTTGTGGAAAGAAAAAAAATAAGAGCGGTAGAATGCCATGTGGATATAATAGATAAATATATATGTTTATGTATACTCTGGAATTTCCTGAGAGTACACTGAACATAAGAGTTAAAGGTGATAACTTTTGAACACAACAGTTGGACAGTGAAATTGTGGGGGTATGGCTTAGGGAGACTTTCTGTATTTCCATTCAGTTCTTAAGTTTCTGGTATAGATTTTTCACTTTTAATTAAAATTAAAGATTATATATTATAGAATTATAATGTGTCATAGAAAATTATTTATTATTTCTATGATTCTCCAGGATGTACTTTTTTAATAGTGCAGATATATTCTTCAAATAACTTAAAACTTTAACAAATTAGTAAGAATAAAAACAATTTATTAGAGAAAATGGGCAAAGGAAGTGAACATTCATACAGGAAGCTCATGTGTCCAATAATTATATATGAATCTATTCATCTGCAGTTGTAATTTGGAATATGTTAATTAAAAAAAAGAAGATACAATTTTACATCGGTTATATGCCACTTAAAAGTCTAATAATGCCAAATGCAGTTAAAATCTGGGGAAAAGGGGAGCTTTGTATACAGGGGGGGAAGTGACAGGAAGAGAAAATTGCTGTCATTGGTAAAGTTGAAATTTGCTTGTATCTGGAATTTCTACTTTTAAGTATATACCGTAGAGAAGCTCTTGTACACATTTACAAATATTTTCTTTGTAATAACACGAACTGGAAATAAGTTACCTTTCCATGATTAGGGATTACATCAATAAGTTCTGGTAAACTCATTTATTACACCAGGGAAGGATAGGAGAAAAATGGGTAGTAGAAAGGCTTACAACTTCAAAAATAAAAAGATCAGAAGGAAGTCTGAAAACTGTGAATATTTGTATTATCTGGGTGGTAGTTTGGTCCATGTTAGTTAAATTATTCTTTGCATTCTTCTGATTATTTTGAACCATATAACAGTATTTTTTCATATAAAATATTTTCCTAAGTGTACTATTTCAGGAGTTCAGTTTCTGCTTTGAAACTTGAGTTGTTAAAAAGTCATACAATATTGAATGTATTTCTTTTCCAGAGTAGAAGTAGTATAATAAACATATTAAGCAACTGTTTGCTTCTTTCCTACCTTCATGTACAGTGTTCTCTAAAAAGTTTTTCCTTTCCTTTTCAGACAGCATGTTTTCGTGAAGAAAGAGATGTGTTGGTGAATGGAGACAGTAAGTGGATTACAACTTTGCACTATGCTTTCCAGGATGACAATAACTTAGTAAGAATCATTTTTATATGTTTTTATATCCTAATTATTTTAGATGGCAGAATTTGGCATTATTTTCTTTTTAAACATTACTTAAATGATTCTAAATAGAAAACTGTATTTTGTAGAGTGTAAGTTAAACACTTGACACAAAAATTTTTTACTCTTGGTGATCAGTTCCTTTGCATTGAAATTGTTTATCCTTTTTAATAGGCAAGTCAAAACTCAATCCAAACTAATTTAATTTCTAACATTTATATTTTATAAGAAAGTATTCAGAATTTTTCCTTTTCATAATTTTCTCAGTGTATTTTCCTCATAATGTTCTGTCCCTTTTTAGATTTTTACATATTTTTCATAGAGGTCATGTGCTACATTAAATAGAGCCACATTCGTATTGATATCATGAACCTTTTCACAAAAATTGGCAAAGATCTTGAAGGAAAATAAAAGTATTAGACACTCTACCAATTGCAAGAGCCTCTTGAGGTAGTGCACACTTATAATCCCAGCTACTCAGGAGACTGAAGCAGGAGGAACGCAAGTTCAAGGGCGACTTAGCAATACTCTGTTTCAAAGTAAAAAGGGCTGGGGATATAACTCAGTGGTAGAGCACCTGCCTACCATGACCAAGGCCCTAAGTTGAATCCCAAATAACACCCTGAGAGGGAAAGAGAGAGTTTATTTAGCATATATACGTTGATAAAATTTGGTATGAAAAATCTACTAGGACATATTTTCACAAATATTTATTTGAATATGTGCTGAGTGTTGGGTACTGTTCTCTTCATTCTGGAGACATAACAGTAAGACAGGTGAAGGACCTTTCATTGTTCTTAGATTCACATGAAAGGAACCATATGATAATTCTAAAGTCAAATAAACAATATTTTCATATTTCAGATGATGAAAATAGTGCCTTTATTCAAGGGCATGAAATAAATGAAGATTCTTCTAAGGCAAATATAAATTAGCTAAATTGGGAAAGGAAAAGCAGCAGAGAGGACTTAGCAAGCAAAAGCATAAAGATTGGAAATAGCTTATTCCATTCATATTGATGGAAAATGGATTAAGAGGTTGATGGATGAGGGTGGAGGGATGAAAGAGTCTTGCCGTGTAGTCCCTTATATGTTTTGCTAAGCAAATAAGACTTTCAAATCCATGTTTTAAATTTAAGTATTTTTTCTTTTTGGTCATGGGACTCTAGTGTATGTGGTTTTAAATGACATTTCTAAAAGCCTAGACAGTAAAGCATATAGTAATGAAACTGCCCTTACTCATCTCTTTTTTCTTCTTCTGCTTTCCTTCAGTGTTATTCAGGGGTCCCTTATCAAACAAAATTTGAAAACTGTTCTGTTAGTACTGTAGAAGGGTTTGTGGGAGGAAAGGAATTTGGTCTTGAGGCATGAGAGGCAGGCTAGCGTGGTTATAGTATAGCAAATAGGGCAAGAGAGTTACACAATGAGTGTAAATCATTACTGTTATAGAGTATAAGCCATGCTAAGGACACAGATTTTAATCTCATTTCAAGGAGAGTGAGATAGTTTTTTGTTTTACACAGGACATGCAGGGTGCAGTTTACTATATGGATTTCAAGGGGGAAAATAGAGGCAAGGAGACTAAAAGACTTACAATATTCAGGTGATAGATGATAAGGATTTAAATAAAGGTGATCCTATCCAAGTAGAGATGAAGAAGAGAATATGGTTTTAGGCACAGTTCAGGAATTAATAATTAGAACTTTTTAATTTTAATGTAATATAAGTAGATATTAATAAAGAAGATATAAAAATATTCTTCTGTAAAAAACTAAAACAAAATTTCACACAAAATAATTAGAGAATACCACTGATTAACATACTGTGTATCATAATCTTAAAAAAATGGCCAAAATGTTACTCATTTGTTTCATTTATAGTACTAGTTTCTTTTGTTCATTGAAAAAGAAGTTTCTTTGTAAGAAAGAATCTTTTTTTGTCTGTGACTTATACTCTGAGTAACATTTTGGCAGTTAGAACTTTTGAGTGAATGTCACTGGACGAGAGACTATTCACAATTATTCCTTTTTGTCAGGGTCTGGCTTATGGGATTCATTAGTTAATTGGTGACGAATTGAAGAATGTAGAAAGAAGAGAAAATTTAGAGTATATGAGAACATGATTAATTTAATTTGGAATATGTTAGGTTTGAATTGTCATGTGATCCACTCACTTGGTTGAATATATAATTTTGGTGCTTTTAGAGAGTACATAACACAACAAGTTCTGGAGTTCTTAGTTCTAATCTGTTCCACTTCCTATTTGTGTACAGTTTGCAAGCATTACATTTTTAAATAGTTAAAATCAAAAGTAATATTTTGTGATTCATGAATATTAAACTTTAAACTTCAGTCTCCATATTGGAACATAACTTACTGATATATATATATTTTCTATAAACTGCAGTGACACAGTTATTACTTGGCGGTATTTTGATCACTGTACCTATTGCTGTACTGTGACATTTTATTATTTTTATTAATAGCAGATACTCATGATAAAATAAGGAAAGGAGTTGTCTTCAGATATTCTTTAATGCATAGGAAAATGGATTTTTAAAATGAAGTAAGCGGCAAAGCATTGAGTTTTTTATGCAACCAGATTGCAGTTATACTGATAGAATATAGTACTATATATATTTACATGGCACGAATAGGCAAACATCACCACATTCTCATTTCATCGGAAAGAAGTGATCAGAAAAATAAGAAAATTTAAAACAGAATTTCTTATCACAGCATAATTTCTTTTTAAGAGTAAAAAACGTGAATGAGTCTGCAGTGTTTCTGAATAGCTAATATGTTACCTGCGCGAGGAAAGCCATTTACCATTGTTATTTAAATCATCCTTGATTGTAGCAGTGGAAAACATGTGTTCAGGGAAAATAAATATGTCTTAAGACTCACCCATTTGTGCCAAACTGTTGTTCAAAGGATTGAGGACGTGGGGATCAACATTGGTTCAGTTTTAAAAGTAGGAGAAATGAAGTTTATTTTCTCTTTTTTTAATATAAGTACCTACATAATATCCTTGATTTTGCATTTTGCCCTGCCAGGGCTATATAATATTTACTCTCTGGTCTTTTATAGTAAAAGTAGTCAGCTCCTGTTGTGGGTAACAGTGAAGACAAAGAGTGAACCTGTGGGGCCAGGGATTTAGCTCAGTGGTTCTGGCACCTGCCTTGTAAGCGCAAGGTCCTGAGTTCAATCCCTGGTACCAAAAAAAAAAGTAATAAGAGAGAAAAGTAGGGCCGGGGATTTAGCTCAGTGGTTCCACTGCCTGCCTCGCAAGTGCAAGGACCCAGGTTCGATCCCTGGTACCATAAAAAAAAAAGAAAAGAAAAGAAAGAGTGAACCTGTGTAACTTAGTAGTGCTTGTGAAATGTTAAGAAAAAGTATGCCTACAGAAGAGGGAGATGAGGAACCCAAGAAGTAACTAATAGATACAATCAAAGCAACAAAGAGGATCAAAATACTGCATCATGGAAACTAAAGAAAGGAGAAAGGGGTAGAGGGCACTTGCCTAGCATGCACGAGGCCCTGGGTGTAATTGTCACCACCACATACACAAACACACAAACATAGAGGAAATGGTCAGTAATGTTAAATATAGTATTTGGTTAATTTTTAAAAATACCAAAAATATTTTGCTTTCCCACAAATGTTACATTTCAGCCTCAGTGGAATATCCTCCATTCCTTGAACATTCTTTGTACTCCTCTACAGTTTGCCTTTAATACCTCAGCTATTCCTCTTCTTTTACTTTTGTTGAAGTCCAGCTAACATTTTAAAATTGTGCTCAAATTCTCCATCTTAAAATATTCATTTCCAGAATTTCCAGTTGGAATTAAACTATCTTATCTCATTTTAGTCCTCTTCTTCTTTTGGGGATGATGATACTGGGGCTTGAACACAGGGCTTTTGCAATGAGCTACATCTCCATTTCTTTTTAAAACTTTTTGGTTTTGAGACAGGGTCTCGCTAAATCACTAAATTGCCCAGGCAAGGCTTGGACTTGCCTCCCACAGTACTTGGAATATAGGCTTGTGCCACTGTGTCTAGCTTTTACAGAAGTATCTGTATTGCTGTTGCACGACTACAATATGTATGTATATAAAATATCTCCAAATCTGTGGTAGAACTGTAGAAAGAATTAAATAAATGATGAGTCTTACTGTCTTTAGCTAAAATAAAATTTAAGGTTTATATAACTCTGTAATAGTTGTGGGAAAGGGGCTGGAGTTGTGATTAGTGGTAGAGCACTTGCCTAGTATGAATGAGACCCTGGATTCCATCCCCAGCACTACTCAAAAGCCCCAAATTTACACAACCACACACACACACACACACACAGACACTCACACATAAATAGTTAAATGAGATTTGTCTAATTATAGGCCAGATCCAGGTATTTGAGAAATATTGTTGCTATCTTTACTTTATATCCTCTACCTGCTTATAGAGTATTACAATTTATTCCAGATAATGTGACCCATTAGTGGGTTATAAAATCAAGTTAGTGGGTTACAAACAGCATTTCAAAAAATTAAACAGGTAAGAAAATGACAGTGTTCATGGCAATTAATAAGAGTAAATTTTTTTTACTCTTGTCACATTTACAGTGCACTGAATCATCATATAAACTATATGTATTATTGTGAATTATAGTTTGAATTGTTTAAAAGCAATAGAACTTTGTATGTATAGTAGCTGAGTTCTTAAATCGAACTTGAAATGTAAGGGATGACTATCGCATGCAGATATAATCTGCATAGATTTATCAGCAAAATTCATGAGTAAATTAAATATACAGCAAGTATTTGCTTGGTAAAATTATAGTATTTATGATGATTTTCAAGTTTTCAGATAAATGAAGACTAACGTCTGTCCCCCATTGCAGTGTAATACATAATAGATTTATGGATTCTTTAAATCTACATTTTGTTGTAAGTATAGAAATAACTATAAAAACTTG